GAAGAAATATAATTTTCTACCAAAAACAGTGATTGATCCAGTTAGTGATGTCTGACTGCTATTATTTTGATCAAAACTGTATATACTGCATGTTGAAATGCGTTTTTATTACAACATATATGAAAAATATTTTTAAAAATTAATTTCAAGTATACTTTATGTATTTAAAAATACAAATCTACATTTTTGAAATGCATTTACAAATATTCGTAAAAATATATTTTTATATGTTAAAAAAAAAAATCTGAAGAATATATTTAAAAAATATATATTTTTAAAAAATAGTTTTCATATATTATGTAATATATAAGAACACATTGCAGTATGTATGTATGTATATATATATATAATATATATATATATATATATTTTTTTTTTTTTTTTTTTTATTTAAATATATTTTTAAATATATTATTATGGCCAAAATTATAGCATTTCAAATATATGTCAATATATTTGGGGGAAGAATATTTTTTTTCCCATATGGGTGCACATGTGCCTTTTATTTATACAGTATTTTTTTTAGGCTAAATTTCAGCTTTAACTCTTCGCTGCGGGTTTTAGACATTAACAATGGAAAGGTAAACTCTGCTTTATTTAGTAAAGTAGTAAATGGAACAGCTAGGGAAACATTAAAGTTACATTTCTTGGTCCAAGGTAACATTAATTAGAAGGTTTGTGCCTTGACCATATATCAGATGAAGAAAGTTCACAAAACTATTTACAAACATTTTTGTCCATTACAATTTCCTCTACATTCTGACTTACTGCCTTGTTTATTTGTAAAAGGGGCCCAACATGAAACACTGATAAACTATAAGTATTCATTCATTTTGTTCTCTGTATGCATCACCCTTTGTATTTGCTTTCTTTTTTTTTTACTTCCTTATTTGTACAGTTATGTCAATTTTCTATTTTTACCCCGGTGTTTCATCCTCAGATGTATTAATTAGTTCAATGCTTAGCGTCTTGGCTTTCAGTCTCACTGAGGTGACATCTTTCAGTGTTCCCTTAGGCTTCTCATTATCCCCAGATACTTGCTGTGAATAAACATCATTTAGGGACATATTCCTGGGTAAACATGAAGTTCTTGTAAAATTAAAAAAAAATAATGAAATAAAAAAAAAAATATATATATATATATATATATATATATATATATATATATATATATATTACAGTATATATTAAAATATACATACAACATATTACATCTACAAATAAAAAATAATACTGATAATTTATAAATACTTGTATTATTTTGTGTGTATAATAAATGTATATATATAAATAAATGTATTATTATAATAATAATTACGTTTCTGATTATATATATAAATGTATTCTCTTGTGTGTATAGTAAATCCATATAAATAATAATATTATTTAAAATGTATTATGCACACAAAATAAAAACCCTTCTATAATAGTAATAATGTATTATTATATATATAAATGTGCTATTTGTGTGTGTATATATTATATATACAAGTCAGGTCCATAAATATTGGGACATTGACACAATTCTAACATTTTTGGCTCTATACACCACCACAATGGATTTGAAATGAAAGGAACAAGATGTGATTTTAACAGCAGACTGTCAGCTTTAATTTGAGGGTATTTACATCCAAATCAGGTGAACGGTGTAGGAATTACAACAGTTTGCATATGTGCCTCCCACTTGTTAAGGGACCAAAAGTAATGGGACAGAATAATAAATCATAAATCAAACTTTCACTTTTTTAATACTTGGTTGCAAATCCTTTGCAGTCAATTACAGCCTGAAGTGTGGAACGCATAGATATCACCAGTACGCTGGGTTTTCATCCCTTTGGTGATGCCCTGCCAGGCCTCTATACTGCAACTGTCTTTCATTTCCTGCTTGTTCTTGGGGCATTAAAAATCAGTTTTGTCTTCAGCAAGTGAAATATTTCAATCGGATTCAGGTCAGGTGATTGACTTGGCCATTGCATATAACATTCCACTTTTTAATTTTAAAAAACTTTTGGTTGCTTTTGCAGTCTGTTTTATTAAAATTGTCCATCTGCACTGTGAAGCGTCCAATGAGTTGTGAAGCATTTGGCTGAATATGAGCAGATAAAATATTCCCCGAAAACACTTCATAATTCATCCGGCTGCTTTTTGTCAGCAGTCACATCATCAATAAATTCAAGAATTTTAACCAGTTTCCATTGGCAGCCATAATGCCCACGCCATGACACTACCACCACCATTTTCACTGATGAGGTGGTATGCTTAGGATCATGAGCAGTTCCTTTCCTTCTCCATACTCTTCTCTTCCCATCACTCTGGTATTTAACAAGTTGATCTCGGTCTCATCTTAAAATACCATAGGATGTTGTTCCAGAACTGTGAAGGCTTTTTTACATGTCGTTTGGCAAACTCTAAGCTGGCCTTCCTGTTTTTGAGGCTCACCAATGGTTTCCATCTTGTGGTGAACCCTCTGTATTCACTCTGGTGAAGTCTTCTCTTGATTGTTGACTTTGACACACATACACCTACCTCCTGGAGAGTTTTCTTGATCTTTAAATAAAAAATTGTTGTGAAGGGTGTTAAATTAAATTTTCACCAGGGAAAGAATTTTTTCGCTCATCCACCACAGTTGTTTTCCGTGGTCTTCCGGGTCTGTTGGTGTTGCTGAGCTCACCGGTGCGTTCCTTCTTTTTAAGAATGTTCCAAACAGTTGTTTTTGGCCACGCCTAATGTTTTTGCTATCTCTCTGATGGGTTTGTTTTTTTTTTTCAAAAAATGATGGCTTGCTTCACTGATAGTGACAGCTCTTTGGATCTCATTTTGAGAGTTGACAGCAACAGATTCCAAATGCAAATAGCACACTTGAAATAAACTCTGGACCTTTTATAAATGCTTATTGTAATTTTAATAATGAGGGAATAACACACACCTGGCCATGGAACAGCTGAGAAGCCAATTGTCCCATTACTTTTTGGTCCCTTAAAAAGTGGGAGGCACATATGCAAACTGTTGTCATTCCTACACCGTTCACCTGATTTGGATGTAAATAGCCTCAAATTAAAGCTGACAGTCTGCAGTTAAAGCACATCTTTTCGTTTCATTTTCAAATCCATTGTGGTGGTGTATAGAGCCAAAAATGTTAGAATTGTGTCGATGTTTTAAAATATTTATGGACCTGACTGTTTATATATTTTTATGTATGTATGTATTTTATATATATATATATATATATATATATATATATATATATATATATTAAGCATATATTAACAATAATACAACATATTACATCTACATAAAAAAATAATACTGATAATTTATTAAATACTTGTATTTTAATATTTTGTGTGTATAATAAAAAAATAAATAAATTATTATGTGTGTGTGTGTGTGTATATATATATGTTGTGTATGAATGTGTGTAAAAAAAAAAATTTTATATTATATATATATATATATATAATATATATATAAATATATATATATATATAAAATATATATATATATATATATATATATAAAAAATTAATAGATAATAAAAAATTATTATAAACTCCAGGTTTATATGAAATACACACAAGATGACAGCTCTGTATTCATTAATACATCCTTTCCATGTTTTTTTTTTATTTGCAAGCAGTGTAATTACCTGAACTTACCCAAATATCCACCTCCTGCAATCTCTGTAAAGCAGGGCTCAGACTGGTAGAGGGAAAAGCAGCAGAACGATGCAATCATTTGTGCTGCAGTGTCTGGCTCTATGCACACTATCTTAAAAAAATGCTCCTAGCAGCAGATTTATATAAAGATTTTATATTATTATTATTATACAGTATTTATAAAGCGCCAATGGTTCGCTCAGCGCTGATATAGAAAGATAATGCAAGACTATATTAAAAAAATCAGTTTAAACTGCAAAATCTTTAAATAAAAATAATACTGACCATCTGAATGCTCAAAAATAATTACAATGTGCTTTGGCGTTTCAGTAAAGCGACTGGAATTTACAACAGGGAAGGTCATCGATTAGGATGACCAATTGGGTCACAACAATCAGAATGAATTAAAATGAGTCTGAGAAACTGGCCGCACAAACCTTATGTATTTTTTTTTAATTCTTTATCAATTTTGCATGTCATACAGGGGTTATAGGGGCACGCAGGCTCCCTTGAAAACAAAATAGCCTAGGCTAGGGGTAAGAGACACAAGACAACATAAATATACCACAGGTCATCGAGACATACCGTATTTTTCGCTCCATAAGACGCACTTTTTTCCCCCAAAAAAAGGGGGAAAATGTCAGTGCGTCTTATGGAGCGGCCGGTCCGGTATTTCCATCGCCGCCGTGTCAGAATACCGGGCCGGCCGCTCAGCTCTGCAGCGGGACCTTATAGAGATGACTGCTGACCTTTGGGGAGGGAGAGGGAGCGGGTACCTGAATTTGACAGGTACCCGCTCCCACTTCCGTGGAGTTGTTCTTTCATCTTACCCGTTCCTCTATCCAGCGGCGTGCTGTCTTCCCGGCTTCTGTAGTGTGGGCATGACAGCCGGGTGCCAAGTGCGCATGCGCAAGAAGCGGTGCTTTTTGTGAATGGTAAGGCGGCACCTGGGACACATGACAGATCCCAGAAGCCGCCGGACCAATCACAAAGCGCAAGTGCTTCTCGCTCATGCGCACTGGGCACCCGGCTGTCATGCCGAGCGCCATTACAGAAGCCGGGAAGACAGCGCGCGGCTGGATAGAGGAACAGGTAAGATGAAAAGAACAACTCCGCGGAAGTGGGAGCGGGTACCTGTCAAATTCAGGTACCCGCCCCCCCCCCCCCCCTCCCCAAAGGTCAGCAGTCATCCCCTGTACTATCCACAGTCTCTGGTCATCCCTGTACTATGTCCGCAGTCTCTGGTCATCTCCTGTACTATGTCCGCAGTCTCTGGTCATCTCCTGTACTGTGTCCGCAGTCTCTGGTCATCCCCTGTACTGTGTCCGCAGTCTCTGGTCATCCCCTGTACTGTGTCCGCAGTCTCTGGTCATCCCCTGTACTGTGTCCGCAGTCTCTGGTCATCCCCTGTACTATGTCCACAGTCTCTGGTCATCCCCTGTACTGTGTCCGCAGTCTCTGGTCATCTCCTGTACTGTGTCCGCAGTCTCTGGTCATCTCCTGTACTGTGTCCGCAGTCTCTGGTCAATCTCCTGTACTGTGTCCGCAGTCTCTGGTCATCCCCTGTACTGTGTCCGCAGTCTCTGGTCATCTCCTGTACTGTCCGCAGTCTCTGGTCATCCCCTGTACTGTGTCCGCAGTCTCTGGTCATCTCCTGTAACTGTGTCCGCAGTCTCTGGTCATCTCCTGTACTATGTCCGCAGTCTCTGGTCATCCCTGTACTGTCCGCAGTCTCTGGTCATCTCCTGTACTATGTCCGCAGTCTCTGGTCATCTCCTGTACTATGTCTGCAGTCCATTAGTTCAGAATTTTTTTTTCCTGTTTTCTGCCTCTAAAACCTAGGTGCGTCTTATGGTCAGATGCGTTCTTATGGAGCGAAAAATACGGTAATTAGGTTCACTCTCACAGCCCAAAGGCCTCCGACACACTAAACTCTAATATCGCGTATAACATAACCTTTCCAAAAAATAGAAGAAGAAAGAGAAGAAAAACTAAACGAGAGCTATAGCAGCACAAGAAATAAAAGGGGGAAATCGGAGGGACAGGGAGGGGAGAAGGGCGGAGGGGAGCAAGTGCGCTGACCAAGGGAGTCTGGCATAGGAGAGTCTGATGGGATCTATCGTGACACCCTGAAGGGGGCGGCCCAAGTTTCACTTTTTGGAATCCAGGATATCCCGGTATTCAGCACAAAAAAACCTTATTTACCCTTTTTAGGCATGGAGTATTCATAATCTCCATTAGGAACATAGGGGGATAATAAATGGGATAATCCAGTCTTCTTCTATGTGAGATATGCGTTTGAGCTATTGAGCATTGTAAAAAGAATTTTCTTTAGCAAATCAGTTAGGATGACCAATTGGGTCAAAATCAGAATTATTAAATGCATTTGAGAAACTTGCCAAACAAACCATTTTAACCATTTTAGAAATGGACTATTCATAATCTCCATTAGGAACATGGAAACCAGTGGGGGGGATAATCCAGTCTTCTGCTTAGCTATATGAGATATGTGTTTGAGCTGTTTGAGCATTGTAAACAACAGAATGTTTCTTTAGCAAATCAGGATGACCAATTGGGTCAAAATATTAAATGCATTTGAAAAACTTGCCAAACAAACCATTTTAAAGAACATTGGGGAACTGGAGAAAGTACAGAGAAGGGCAACCAAACTGATAAGAGGCATGGAGGAGATCAGCTATGAGGAAAGAATTAGAGAAACTGAATTTATTCTCTCTTGAGAAGAGGAGATTAAGGGGGATATGATCTCCATGTATAATACATAAGGGGGGATATGATCTCCATGTATAATACATAAGGGGGGATATGATCTCCATGTATAATACATAAGGGGGGATATTATGATCTCCATGTATAATACATAAGGGGGATATGATCTCCATGTATAATACATAAGGGGGGATATGATCTCCATGTATAATACATAAGGGGGGATATGATCTCCATGTATAATACATAAGGGGGGGTATGATCTCCATGTATAATACATAAGGGGGGGTATGATCTCCATGTATAATACATAAGGGGGGATATTATGATCTCCATGTATAATACATAAGGGGGGGGATATGATCTCCATGTATAATACATAAGGGGGATATGATCTCCATGTATAATACATAAGGGAGGATATGATCTCCATGTATAATACATAGGGGGGGATATGATCACCATGTATAATACATAAGGGGGGGATATGATCACCATGTATAATACATAAGGGGGGATATGATCTCCATGTATAATACATAAGGGGGGATATGATCACCATGTAGAATACATAAGGGGGGGATATGATCACCATGTATAATACATAAGGGGGGGATATGATCACCATGTATAATACATAAGGGGGGATATGATCACCATGTAGAATACATAAGGGGGGGATATGATCACCATGTATAATACATAAGGGGGGATATGATCTCCATGTATAATACATAAGGGGGGATATGATCTCCATGTATAATACATAAGGGGGGATATGATCTCCATGTAAATACATAAGGGGGATATGATCTCCATGTATAATACATAAGGGGGGATATGATCTCCATGTATAATACATTACATTACAGTTAACAAGCTCCTCTAGAAACCCACTAGTTCTGGGGGTTTTTTCCAGCCAGAAAAAACTGATTTAACGTCTATGTGTGCGTGAACACATCTGATAACATGCTGGGGAGTTTACTGGCTGTGGAAAAGAACACAAGAAGCCAAAAAACAGCCGCTGTACATATGTCCCGTGTGGATGAGGCCTTAGCTTTTAAAATATTTCCTTGAAAGTACCATCAGATCTAGACCATTTCCTTTGAACCCGGTGGATCTGAAGTGCTGTCCTGTGGACTTCCACCTTATGAGGAGAGGGGAAGGTGTTCTAACACACTTCCAATCCTCGGATGACAGTGCTGCTTCTCATACACACAGTCTCTCATATACACACTGTTGTCAGTCTAGGACAGGAAGCGTTTTACTGGCAGGATCAGTAAATTAACCCCTTCACGCTGGCGCCTCCCGGCCCTTTATAAGGGTTCCAGAAGCCAGAGGCGGAGGAGGGTTTAGGGTCATGTGACTGTCGTGACGCGCCGTCACGACAGTCACATGATCGGGAATGGGCACTCCTCTTTTGATCGGGACCTTTCCGTGAGTACCGGACATGTGTGCTGGGAACGCGCTTGACACGCCGTCACGATGGTCACATGATTGGGAATGGGCACTCCTCTTTCGATTGGGACCTTTCCGTGAGTACCGGACATGTGTGCTGGAAGCGCGCAGGGCGCACACTCTCGGCACATATGTCCTTTTTAATAGAATGCAAATGTGCGGCCGCTCGGCGTCTAGGCCCAGATGCCGGGAGGCCACACATTTGTGTGCGGATGGCTTGAAGAGGTTAAAAAAAAATAAATGGAAAAAAAATCTGAAATTGGAAAAACTCATACAGTCTCCATATCTAAGGACTAGTAATCCGGTATTCAAATTTTTGTTTTTGGACTTAGAAATACTTTAACCACTTCCCATCCGGCTGTTGTATGTAAACGGCCGGACGGTGGCAGTGCAGGGTCAGGTGGCCGTTTATAAACAGCCTCCCCGCAACCTGCTTGTGCGTGCTCCCCGGGAGCGCGCAGCACCGTGATCCGGTGCCCGCTGTGTCCTCCGGACACAGTGGACACCGATCGTTTTACGGGACCTCTGTACGAGGTCTCGATCATGTGATCACTGATTGGCCAATCAGTGATCACATACAAAGTAGTAGGCAAGATGTCACTTGTGACATCATTGCTTACTACGTGTGAAATCTGTGAATGATCAGAGGTCACATGGTACAAGGCTATTCACAACAGCCTTGTACCATGTGACAAGCTGTGACCAATCACAGCTCACTCGTATTTTCTCAATGGCTGCAAGAATGCAGACAGAGAGGAAAAAGAAATGATTGCTTTTACATCCTATATGGGTGTAAAAGCAATCAGTGTAAAAAAAAAAAAAATCTTCATCACCCCCCAAAAGTAGTACAGTGTCACCATGGTGACACTACTGCTAGGGTGACAGTATGTTAAATAAATAAATAATATAAAAAAAAAAATAAAAATGTAAAAAAAAAAGTTTCAAAATTATAATTTTTGGTTATAAACTAATTTGGCTTATTTTTTTTTTTTTACTAAAAAGATAACGGAATAAATTTTGGCCAAGATTTATATTGAAATATTATTTATTTGCAAAATTTTATAAGAAACTTTTTCTCAAAATTTTTGGACATTTTCATTTACATAGCAAAAAAAAAAAAAACTCCCAGCGGTGAATAAATACCACCAAAATAAAGTTTTATCTGTCTCAAAAAATGGTAAAAAATTCATATGGGTACAGTGTTGCATGACCGCGCAAATTGTCATTCAAAGTGTGATAGCGCTGAAAGCTGAAAATTGGCCTGGACAGGAAGGGGGTGAAAGTGTCCGGACAGGAAGGGGGTGAAAGTGTCCGGACTGGAAGGGGGTGAAAGTGTCCGGACTGGAAGGGGGTGAAAGTGTCCGGACTGGAAGGGGGTGAAAGTATCTGGACTGGAAGGGGGGGAAAGTGTCCAGACTGGAAGGGGGTGAAAGAATCCGGACTGGAAGGGGGTGAAAGTGTCCGGACTGGAAGGGGGTGAAAGTATCCGGACTGGAAGGGGGGGTGAAAGTATCGGACTGGAAGGGGGTGAAAGCGTCCGGACTGGAAGGGGGTGAAAGTGTCCGGACTGGAAGGGGGTGAAAGTGTCCTGGAAGGGGAAGGGGGACTGGAAGGGGGTGAAAGTGTCCGGACTGGAAGGGGGGTGAAAGTGTCCGGACTGGAATCTAGGGGGGTGAAAGTGTCCGGACTGGAAGGGGGTGAAAGTATCGGACTGGAAGGGGGTGAAAGTATCTGGACTGGAAGTGGTTAAAAATAAGAGAAACACAAGTAGCCACAAAAAATTTATTTTACATTTTTTTTTCTTTATGCATTAACCAGTTACTTGCTCTATCCCAGATATATTTTAGATATATTTTTATGGCACCAAAATGTGATTTTATTTTTTTTATCCTAATCAGCACTTATTTGTTATTAGTAATTGTTCCATTGTGTTGTTTTGCTGCATTGTAACTGTAATTGCCTTTTACTTTATTAGTAAATCCTCAAATGCATTAATTAGTTTTAACAATATCAATTGTGTTTCTTAATCCGCAGATGGAACCTTATTGTGTCCCTTAAGTCTCAGGAATTCCTTACAGATCTGATCATCACATAGGCAGTTCTCTGTAACCTGCTGAGTGTTATATGCTTTCAGGTAAAATTTGCTGTCCCGTAACTAAAATAAAATATATGCAGTCATTTATAGACTTAGGCTCCATGTACTGCAGCTGATAAACTGACGTTCAGGAGCTTTTCTGTGTTTTTCCAGCAGCCCCTGAACTCTCCCTAATGTTCTCCTGTGTCCATGTACACATTGTCCTTTACAGGCAGTTGAGTTTACAGTCGTTTATTTGAACGCCCCAAACTTGCATTCAGGAGTAGATTTTATCAGCGTGTAAACACGTCTAAAAGCGGCTAATCGCGTTTATAAGCGTTTGTAAAATTTTTTTACCTCTTCCATTTCCAGATGCTATCCAGAGCCTTTTTTCATCATGAAAAATGCATGCAAAGCGTTTTCCTGGTACTC